GCAGGTGTGCAGTGGATTGCTGCTGGGCGCCAGCTGATCCAGAGTGTTCTGCGCAACTCGAGGCATTGCTCCGGCGTCCACAGACCTGCCTGTCTGCCCCCCTTAAGTCTTATAATCAGACTCTGACTCCTTTTTCTCTTGACAATTTATTTGTTGAAGAAACTACTAGTTAACTTACAGAGTTTTCCATATTCTGAATTTTGCTGATTTCTTCCCATGGTATAGTTTAACATGTTTATTTTTCTCTTGACTTTACTATGGACTGGTAATTAGAGCTAGGGCCTGAAACTGGTTCATGAAGGATTTTTTTCCCCCCTTTATTATTTGTTTCTTTGTTGTATAACTTTATAGGTGGTTTTATGTATTTCTTTTAGGAGGTTTATAACTGGTTATCTGCTGATGATGTTACTAGTCAGTGATGATCATTACCTACATCCATTATTTCCTTAGAGATTAGCAAAACCCTGTTAATCTAGTTCCAACATTCCTTTTCTTCTTATGAACTGGAAATTTTCTATAAAGAAAAACTTTATCAACTATTTGGTTACTCTGAGATACTATTCACAGAGGAAAGTGTTTTAGTCACTTTCCTGTCACTGGGACAAAATACCTGACTCCTACAACTTAAAGGAGCAGTAGTTTATTTGGTTCAGTTTCCACTGGATTCAGTCCAAGGTTAGCTGGCTCCAAGGCAGAAACACATGGTAGAAGGTCGTAATGGAGGAAAGCTGCTTAACCCATGGCATCCAAGAAGCAGAGAGAGACAGAGGAGTGAGGACAGGAATGCACCCTTCTAGGTCATGTTCCCAGTGACCCAGCTCCAACCAGGCCCCACCTCCAACCAGGCCCCACCTCCTAATGGCTACTGACATCATAAATTCACTGATGTTGATGAGTATTGCACCCCCATGATCCAGTTACCTTACAAATATGTAAAGCCTTTTGGGAGCATTTTAGATCTAAACCATAACATTTTACCCTTGGGCCCCAAAAGACTCAACTCTGTCTTGCTATACAAAATTCATTTAGTACATCTCTAAGAGTCACCAAAGTCTTAACAATTCCAGCATTGCTAAAAAGTCCAAAATCTCCTATGAGACTCAAGGCAAACTCTTAGCTGTGAGTCCCTATAAAAATAAAAATAAATAAATATTTCCAATATACAGTAGCACAGGGGCAACACTTCTGTTTTAAAAGGTACAATTGGTGCATAGAAAGGAACTGGACCAAAGTAAGACCAAAACTCAGCAGGGCAAACATTAAATCCTGTAGTTCCATGTCCAGCACCCAGGGCAAGTTGTGGTGCGATGTGAACTCCAAAGCCCTTAGGCAGCCCCAATCCTCCAGCCTTGGACTACACCACATGGCCTCCCTTTTGATCTGGCTCTGCTTAGTGCCTGTGGCTTGCCTCAGCAGATGATCTACATTCCTGGCATTTCTAACTCCCTTGGGTCTCCACTGCATCTTAGACTTTACTTTCACATCTTCACAGACTTCCCTTGAGGGGCAAATTGTCTGGCCTCCCAGATATTCCTTTTAAATATATATGGAAGACTCCCTCACCCCGCACCTATTGTATTCTACATGCCTGAAAAACTAGCACCATGTGGATAATTCCAAGGTCTACCATGAGCTCAAGCAGTAGTAGCCAGAGTGCCTGGATGGCTGAACTCTATGAAACAAATCCCAGGGCACTAGTTCCCTAGGAGTCACTTCTCAAGCAGGATTCTCAGCAACTCATTTCTCAAATAAAAGCTTTACAGTTTTTGCACCCTTAAGCCTGTGAATGGTAGGGTCTTGCTGATTCCTGAGGTGCCTTTAAGCCATTTTATCTATTCTCCTGATCCAAAGTGCTTGGCTTTAAAAAAAAAAAATCTTTTTACCAACCATGGTTCCAACTTTACAGGAGCTTCCTTTTTGGCCACCAGCAAAATTTTTTAAATTGTTTAACTCTGCTTTTTAGTCGTGATTCTCACTGAAAATCTGGCTGAAAACAGCTAGCAGTACTCATGCTACACGCTGAATACTGGGCTGTTTTGAAATTTCCCCTGCTACATTAATTAGTCCACTGTCCTTAATTTCAGTCTCTTGTAAAGTCCTAGGACATGGGCAAAATGAAGGCAAATTTTCTGCCAGAGTGTAACATTCATGGCTTCTAGTCCAACTGCCAATAGAGTTCTTATTCCCAACTGAAACCTCCTGAGCCTGGCCTTTACTGTCTGCGTTTCTATAATTCTGGTCTGAGCTCTGCCTGGGGTCTCCCATTAATCTCTGCTTACTCTGCGTACAGTACCCTAAGGCTTTTCTAGCTGGCATCTCCAAACCTTTCCAGACACCTCCCGCAAACCAGTTCCAAAGGCTTCTGAACCACATGGTCAAATATTGTAGTCACAGCAATGATCCCATTTTTCAGTTTATCAATTTCCATATTAGTCACTTTGCCATCACTGAGACAAAATGCTGAACACCCACAACTTACAGGAAGAGAAGTTAATTTGGCTCACAGTTTCCAGTAGGTTTAGTTTAGTCAGCTAGCACACATGGTGGAAGAACATGGTGGAGGAAAGCTGCCCATCCCATGGTAGTCAAGGAAGCAGAGAAGGAAAGTATGAATGAGCACAAGAATACCTCCTTCCAGGCCATGCCCCAAGCAACCCACCTACAACCAAGCCCCACCTCCTAAAAGTATATTTAGCTAGTGAACTCATCAGTTGGTAAGTCCACTTATGCATATAGCACCCCCCTGGACCAGTAAACTTCCAAACACATGAGACTTTTGAGGGATGTTTTAGATCTAAACCGTAACAGAAAAATACATGAGACTTTTGAGGGATGTTTTAGATCTAAACCGTAACAGAAAGGCAGGTTAAATACTTGACACTTTTTTTTTTTTTTTTTTTTTAGCTGTAGCAATCAGTTATAACTCAAAGAGTTCATACTGGTAGGAGTAATTGGATAAAGATATAAGTAGAAGAAAGATATAAGTGGCAGCTCTAGTAAATATAAAAGGAAGTTGAGAAATAGAAAATTGGGCTGGGGATTTAGCTCACTGTTGCTGCTGCCTGCCTCGTAAGTGCAAAGTTCTGAGTTCAATCCCCAGTACCCCCCCCAAAAAAAATCATTAGATACTAGAGTAATAATTATTGCTAAGCATATCCACCAATTGATGCTAAAATTAGTAGACAAAAATATTAAGAGTTACAGAATATTTTCAGTCTTAAATATCTCCCCCAATATATAATTTATCAATTACAAACATAATAATATTACAGTAAAGAAACTTGAAGATACCGTCTTAACCAGTAAGTATCAGTGTGATGCATATCACTTTTAGTATTCTTACCAAAAAGACGACCTCAGGGCCGGGGATTTAGCTCAATGGTCTTGCCACCTGCTGTGCAAGCACAAGGACCCGAATTCAATCTCCAGTACCAAAAAAACAAAAACAAACAAAAAGAAGACCTCAGTCTAATCATGAGAGAACACCAGACAAATGCAAATCAAAGTGACAGTGTCATGAAAAGTAAGGAGAAGCTCTCACTGGAAGGAACTATAGAGACAACACATAAATGTAAGGGTGAATCTTGGATTGGTGAAATGAAAACAGTGACATTAGTGGAAAAAAATCAAAATAAAATCCATAATGTAGCATTGTATAGGGATTGATTTCTTAGTACTGATAATTGTACCATATGCAACATTAGGGAAATTTAGGCAAAAGGTATAGAAAACCTCTACTATTTCTGTGATTTTTTTTTTTGTACTTCTAAATTGCAAAACAAAAAGTTAACAAAGAAGCTTTACATTTCCATTTGGAAAGATCTTAAAGGTATTAGAAATAAATGGGGAAGAATTACAATCCAGGAGTAAGGTAGGCCTTTCTAAGCATGACATATCCAGAAGCAATTTTTATGATATGAATATAAATCTGTACATTTAAAAATTTCTGAAACACACATGTAAAACAGGAAATATGTGTAAAACACATGACAAATTAATGACTGGGTTCTTTAATATCTGAAGTGCTCATTAAATGATTATGAAAAGGAATGACCAATACAAAATGGATAAAGATTTAACAAACAGGGCCTGGGGGTTTAGCTCAGTGGTTCTGCCGCCTGCCTCGAAAGTGCAAGGTCCTGAGTTCAATCCCTGGTACCAAAAACAAAAAAAGATTTAACGAACAGTTCACAGCAGTGGAGATTGTTCTTGAACATTAAAAGATGCTGTATAACCTTCCCCTTAATAAGAGAAGTTGCATTCTCACCTAGATTAAAGGTTTGAAAGAAATGATTGATAGTAAATTATGTTGCCAGGTGTTTGAGAAAACAGGCATCTCTTCACACTAATGATGAGACTGTAAATAGACACTTGCAGTGGAGCCTAATTTGCCACTAGCTCTTGAAATTATAGACACCTCTCCTCTATAAAAACAAAAACAAAACTCACACTGTCAATTCAGCAGTTCCATTTCTCAGAATTTATCCAGATCTGTATTGAAGAATGATGTGTGAGAGCTACTCAGTGAGCATTGTTTATAAAACTTTACACAGTGTGGTTTAGAGTTTGTTGTAATGATATTGTATGTAAAGGACATGTGATTGTTGTAATGTTGTATTCATTATGGTCTCTAAAAAAAATTACATTGACAAAAGGTTGGAAAGATCTTAGGCTCAATAATAGGGACATGTTTAAGAAACAAAGGTGTATTTGTATAAATATATGTATCTGTAAAATATGAGACATGTGGCTCTGCATATACTGAAAAAGCTATTTCCAAGAGACTGTAAGTTGAAAACTGCAAGGTACAGAACATTATACATCTATCTATCTATCTATCTATCTATCTATCTTATTTATTTACTTATTTTGGTACCGGCGATCGAACTCGGGTCCTGTGCTTGCGAGGCAGGCGGCAGAAACACTGAGCTAAATCCCTGGCCTCCTTATTTGTGATTTTTAAAAAAGGTTATACATTTGTTTGTTTGTTTGTGCTGAGACAGGGTTTTGCTGTGTAGTTCAGGCTGGCCTTGAACTCACTGTGTAGCCCAAACTGGCCTCGGGATCACAGTGATCCTCCTGCCTCAGCCTCCCTAGTGCAAGGAAAGATTTATACTTTTAAGGAGGTTGCTTCTAAGGAGGTAAAGTAGATGATAGGAGAAAGAGGGACAGTTTTTACCAAATTACCTTCTGTGTTGAATTTTTATCATGTAAGTGTATCATTTATTCAGAAAAATTTTAATAGTTATTTTCTGGTCTTTATTTTATTCACAGGACCCTGTCTGCTTTAGCTCACTGGTCTGCCATCTTTAGTGACACACCATATCTTCCTCTCTTGGCATTTCCATTTGTAAAATTATTCCAGAATAACCAGCTTATCTGTTTTGAAGTTGTTGCTACTCTCATAAGTAAGTAGGTAATTACTACAGAATGAAACTAAGAATGGATTCTTATATATTTCCCCTAAGTCTTGACAGCTTTGCAACATTTAATAATTCTAGATTTCTCTACTTGTAAGTCAAGAAAGTGTGACACAACCAAGTGAGAGTATAAAGTGGATGTTTCAAACATTTATATGTAAAATTTTACTTATAAGGAATTTGGACACTTAAATTTTAGAAAATGTTGTTATAGACTAGATTTGGTTAGTGACAAAGACTCGGATTGTTCTCTTACTACAGGTTCGCTGCTCTTCTCAGCATTGCTCTAAGTTTGTAAAGTGCTTTGCACACAGTGCCTGTTCTTATGCCCAAGCAGTGGCTGCTGTGTGTCCTCGCCACCCACGGGTCCTTTGTGTGCACCAGGCACCGTTCTCAGTGTCTGCCTTTGTTCGCTGAGCCGGTCCTGACTGACATCCTGTGGCATAGGTGTCACTGTCCCTGTTCTGTAAGTTACCCAAGCTGCGGTGAGTGGCAGAGCACACGTCTGGACCCAGCAGTCAGACTCCAGGTCTGTTCCCGGGTGCCACCTTCCTCCACGTCATTGCTTTCATATTAGTAAGATCAGGTCTGATAAACTATATGAAATCAAATGGATTTGACAAAAATAATTTTATATGTATTTTAAAGCACTTATGTTTTTCTTGTACAAAAGAGATATCCACTTAACTGAAAGTAAAATTCTGAAAAAGAAAATTTAAAAAAAGATCTGTGTATATCTACTATGAATATTTTAGTGTATTTCCATACTTTTTGTTTTGTTATATTGTACTTGTTCTGATAAGTTTTTATTGGTCATTGGACAAAATGTAAAAGAAATTCACCAATATTTCTCTGTTCCAGAGATAATATACTGATATATACATGATAATATACTAATGAATTTATTATAATATCAAATCATTAAATATTATTTTAAAAGTTTATTGGCTATGTAGTAATTCCTCTTATAAGTATATTGTAATTTATTCAACTTTAACAATTTTAGTTTTCTAATTTTCCCATACATTTTAAGCAGTTTATTATAATCATACTTTTTTAAAAATTTATACATTTCCATTACTTTTACAAATTTTATGAGTATTGGCTGTAATATTCTATCGTGTGCACATGCAAGCTTAATCTATTGTTGGACATTGATGTTATTTCAAATTGTACTTTAGAAAATAACAGTGCTATAATCAACTTCATATGTAAATATAATTATTTGTACATAGATTCCCAGAATTGCTAGTATTAGTTCATAAAATACGAATTCCCCAAAAGCATGTACTAGTTTACCCTGCTAATAGTACTGTTTTAAGAAAAAAAATACAATGCAATAAGAGACAATCCAATTTTTTTTTTTTTTTGGTACTGGGGATCGAACTCGGGTCCTTAGCACCTGCAAGGCAGGCTGCGGAACCACTGAGCTAGATCCCCGGCCCAACAATCCAATTTTTGTTTTATTTTGTTTTTGGTACCAGGGATCGAACTCGGGTCTTGTGCTTGTGAGGCAGGCGGTGAAACCATTGAGCTAAATCCCGGGCCCCACAATCCAATTTTTAAATGACAAGAATTTGGGCCAGGGATTTAGCTCAATGGCACTGTGCCTGCCTGGCAACCACAGGGTCCTGAGTTCGATCTCCAGTACCAAGGGAAAAAAAAGAATTTAACTATACATTTCTGCATAGAATAAAAGCAAATGACTAGTAAGCATATAAAGATATGCTCGAGGGCCGGGGACTTAGCTCAGTGGTGCTGCCACCTGCCTCACGAGCACAAGGTACCGAGTTTGATCCCCGGTGCCAAAAAAAAAGATATACTCTGCATTATTCATCATTAGGGAAATAGAAATCAAAACCACAATGGGATATTGCTTCATACCTACTGAGTGGCTATATTTAAATAAACAAGTGTTGTTGAGGATGTGGAACTTTGATGTAATGCTGGTTGGATGTTGTATGGTGCGGCCACTATGGAAAAAGAGTATGGGACTGTGAAGAACACTTTGAAGTTTCTCAGAAAAGTAAAGCAGAAATACCATATTACCTAGCAATATCAGTCCTAGGTACATACTCAAAAGAATTAAAACCAGAGATTCAAACAGGCACTTTTGTGAGAATATTCATATAGCATCATTATATCTGGTAGCCAAGAGGTATTGACAAGCCAAGTGGCATTTACAGATAAATGGATAAACTAATGTGGTCTGCATGATACAGTGGACTCTTCTTCAGCTATCAGGAGAATGAAGTTCTGATACGTGATATAACATGGATGATGCTTTAAAAAATGCTTTGTGAAATAAGACCAAAGAATGGACAAACACTGTATGGTTCCACTTCTGGGAAATGTCTAAAATAGATGCATTCATAGAAACTCAGAAAGTAGATTAGAGCTTACCAGGCCCGGGGAAGTGGGATAGGGGAGTTACTGCTCATCGGGTGTAGAGTTTTTATTTGCAGTGATGGAAGCGTTTTGGAAAAGGTAGGGGTAATGGTAACATGACATTGTGAATGTGAATAATGCCTCCAAATCATACCATTCAAAATGATTAAAATGGCTAATTACACATTTTACCACAAGAAAAGAAACCACGCTGTGTCTAATTTAGGTAGGTATGCAGAACTTTTTATTATCAGTAAAATCTTGTTAAAATAGCTAGCATATGATTATATGGTAAGGAAATTCATTTTTCTCTTCTAAAGAAACATACTTGAAATTTAAATAGAGGCAATTAATGTTCATTCCATAGTGGTCAGTGCGTATGGATTTTTATCAAGGGTATCAAATTACCTTTATTTAATAAACATTTACTGAGCATCAACTAAAGGTTAACACAGCGGGCATGTGCTGTTGTTGTAGCTTTCAGGTTTATAATTCACTTGGAACCTAGAAGAAATTTTGAAGGAAGCAGTCACTTCTCTGTATAATTTGTAATACACAGAATCTCCATAACGTCATCAATTCTCGTTTTTCCTGGTATTAGTCAGTGTCTTTATGTCCTTTACGTTTGTTGTAGTGGCACCAAAGTAAAACAATACTTTTAAAATGGCATAAGATTACTACAGAGAGAGGGAACAAGATGGCAGCACCAAAGGGGAAACCTCTGGGTCGGGGACCACCTCGGCCGAAGCGATACGGCATCCTGCCACCGGGCCTGTCAGCTGACCTACCCCTTGCACACCTACCCCAAGGAAGAGGAGTTGTACGCATGTCAGAGAGGTTGCAGGCTGTTTTCAATTTGTCAGTTTGTGGATGATGGTATTGACTTAAATTGGACCAAATTGGAATGTGAATCTGCATGTACAGAAGCTTATTCCCAATCTGATGAACAATATGCTTGCCATCTTGGTTGCCAGAGTCAGCTGCCGTTTGCTGAACTGAGACAAGAACAACTCATGTCCCTGATGCCAAAAATGCATCTGCTCTTCCCTCTGACACTGGTGCGGTCCTTCTGGAGCGACATGATGGACTCTGCACAGAGCTTCATTACCTGTTCCTGGACTTTCTGTCTCCAAGCCGATGATGGAAAAATAGTCATATTCCAGTCTAAGCCAGAAATTCAGTATGCACCACAGTTGGAACAGGGGCCTACAAATTTGAGAGAATCGTCTCTAAGCAAAATGTCCTATCTGCAAATGAGAAGCTCACAAGCACACAGGAACTATCTTGAAGATGGAGAGAGTGATGGATTTTTAAGATGCCTCTCTGTGAACTCTGGGTGGATTCTAACCATGACTCTCATCCTCTCGGTGATGGTATTGCTCTGGATTTGTTGTGCAGCTGTTGCTACAGCTGTGGAGCAGTATGTTCCTTCTGAGAAACAGTATCTATGGTGACTTGGAGTTTATGAATGAACAGAAGCTAAGCAGATACCCAGCATCTTCTCTTGTGATTATTAGATCTAAAACTGAAGATCATGAAGAAGCAGGTCCTTTACCTACAAAAGTGAATCTTGCTCATTCAGAAATTTAAGCTTTTTTTTTTAAAAAGAAAATTGTCACAGATACCTGAATTTCCATTCCTCATAGAGCTTTTTAAATGGTTTCATTGGATATAGGCCTTAAGAAATCACCATAAAATGCAAATAAAGTTAACCAAATCTGTGAAGACTGTAAAAAAAAAAAAAAAAAAAGATTACTACAGAGAGCAGGGTTTCCCTCTTGCTAAGAAACAGAATTCTGTTAATGAATATTAAATATGGGGTCAGAGCTTTGTAAACTTGTGTTGGATACAGAATGGGTGCATAGTAAATGCTCCTGCACCCAGTTTTCCTTTTAAAATTAGCTTATTTTAAAGCAGCAGTTTACGGTAGCTGAAATACTTCTTTTCAAGCTTAGTCTTTATGACTTATTAGCTCATATTTAAATAGTAATAAGTGAGATAATGGAATTCCAGAATGGAAAGTCCTTATAAACTATCTAATGTAATATTCTGCTAATAAAGCCTTCTGCCAATTAGAGGTGGATCTTAATATTAAAATTTGAAACCACAACTCATTGCAGGTTGAGCATCCCTAATCCAATAATCTGAAGTCCAATACCTGAAGCTTTTTGACTGCCAATATAATGCTTTTGGATATTCAGATTTTAGAACATTTCAGACTTTAGAATTAAGGATGTCACCTAGTAAAGTCTGCAAATATTCCAGTATCTGAAAAACTCTGAAATGGAAACACTTCTGGTCCAAAACATTTCATTGATGGTCAGTCCGTATTTAAAAATTTTTTAAACAATTTAATAAGTAGAGGATGAAATATAGGCTCATTGAGCAAAACAAGCTGATGATCTTTGAAGAACTTTGTGGGTTGCATTGATTACACAGTGCATTGAGTTAGCCATAGAACACTATTCGGTAGAGTGGAGTCTACTTTGAACTAGCTGACCTTCAGAAAATGCTGTTGTCACTGATTGGTTGGTTTTCAAGTAAAGTTTACTAAAACAAAATGTCATTGATTAATTAGACTTACAGTCAGTTTGTGTGGTTACTTGATACTGTGATTGTAGAGCAATCAGTTTTTTCCTAGGAATGAGGACTTTTTTAATTGTCACTTAATCGATGGGGGTACAGTATGTACATATTTGTTTTTATGTATTGCTATAAATGTAAAAATATAGTTTTGAGCATTTTTTTCTAAGCTTGTCTTTTCTTTTTTTCCTTTTTGAGATAGAGTCTTACTATGTATCCCAGGCTAGCCTCAATCTCATGGCAGTCCTACCTTGGTGTCCTGAGTGCTGGGGTTATAGGTGTATGCCACCATACCCGGCTTCCTAAGTTTTTCTCATTTTGATTCCATATGAATTTTAGTGGATTTGAGGAGATTGCCCTGTTAACATTGATCTTGTTTAATGAAGGCTTGCATGGGGAGCTTTCTACAAAGGTTCTTTTTGTTAATCAGGGGACCTACAAAACAGAAGTAAGCAGGAACCAGAATGTCTTATAACTAGGCTCAAGAATAGTTTGGAAAGTTTGTGTGTTTTAACTGACACTGTCATTAACAGAAAACTTTCTGTATACCTATGATACTGTATTAACATGATCGAATTTTTTTAAATCTCATCTAGAATTTTGAAATGTACATTTTATTCATGAGGATATAAGAAGTGTAAACATTTAAGAATTTTTAAAAAATCATATAAGAATTAGAGTTGCTGGGGATTTAGCTCAGTGCTTCCACCGCCTGCTTCTCAAGAGCAGGGTGCCGAGTTCGATCCCTGGTACCAAAAAATAAGAATTACAAAGTCCTTTGATAATATAGGGAGGCATTTAAAGATAAATTTTCTTTTCTTTCCTTTGTAGTTAATTGGTGTCAATACTGGTTTGAATACTTTCCTAATCCTCCTATCAATATTCTTAGTATGATAGAAAATGTTCTGGCATTTCATGACAAGGAATTACTACAGCACTTCGTAGATCATGATGTAACTTCCCAGGTAAAAAGTCAGATTTTTAGAATAATAAAACATATTTTAGGAGCTAACATTGATTCCGATGCAAATAAAACAGTATTTTCAGGAGGGGTATAATAAAAAGCATACTGCATTTGTATTTTAACAGTATTCTATTTTTTTTCATTAAACTGCCTTCCTGAAAACCTATTAAAAGGGCCCAAATTAAGTAGTTCTTTTTATAATTATGTATTTAATGATTTTCATACCTTAAATTGCATATAAGAGAATATTATCAATGACTATTTAGACTTTTCCTTAGAAAATTAAAAAAATAAATTTTCTTTATTTATTGTAGCTGTATGCGTGGCCTCTTCTTGAAACTGTGTTCTCAGAAGTACTGACAAGAGAAGAATGGCTCAAATTATTTGATAACGTTTTTTCCAACCACCCTTCCTTCCTTCTGATGACTGTGGTAGCCTACAACATATGTTCTAGAGCGCCTTTGCTCCACTGTACGCTTAAGGGTGATTTTCAGGTAAATGCCCTGTTCTTAAGATGAGGTTCTCAAACTTCAATTGAAAGATACATTTATTGATTATCTTTTGCACATCAGGCACTGGTACTTGGTGGTAGGAATATAATGGACAACAAAGTAGACCACATCCCTGACCTTATCTAGCTCGTGGCAGTTAAACAGGCAAGTAGAGCAAGCTAAGTTAGTCTTACAATCATAGCATCAGAAAAGAGTCATGATAATGTGGGGTTTTGTGCCTTGTTTCCTATGTAAAGGTTGTTGAAAGCGTGGATCTCATCCATAGCCCTTCTGGTCTGTCATAGTCTGGATGCTTATTACATGTGCAAAATTGGAACTAAGGGTTTTAAAGCATGGCAAGAAATCCCTATAAAGGGCCAGAGATTTAGCTCAGTGGTTCCAGCACCTGCCTCACAAGCGCAAGGTCTAGAGCTCAATCCCTGGTACCAAAAAAAAAAAAAAGAAAGAAAGAAATCCCTAAAAGAGCATTAAAAGGAAAGGTTTTTTTCCAGTGGACAGAAAATTGAGGTTTCTGAATGTATATGTGACTTATTTTGTGATTCCTATCAAATTAAACTTTATTTTCACTTTATGGTCACATAATAAATACATGTATATTTTAAATTTGGGGTCTGCCAGCAGAACAAGATAATGTGGAACTACATTTAGGTATTTTCAGGCAATTAAACTAATTTATTTTGGATTTTGAAGTTTTAAAGCTCCATGCAAAAAGCAATTGCTTCATTGTTTTGTTAATACATTGTTTTTCTGTTGTAATGGAAGCTTTCATTTTGAGTTAAAATGTAAATAATTTTTTATTTTAAAATTTCATAAATGATTGTTACATTTTATCACAGTTTGGAAATATGAAACTTAACCCTTTTTTTTATTATTATTATTTTTTTTTGGTACCAGGGATCAAACTCAGGACCTTGTGCTTGTGAGGCAGGCACCGGAACCACTGAGCTACATCCCTGGCCCAACCCTTATTTTTAAACTTGGGTTAATAAAAGCTTCAGTGAATTTGCAAAAAAAAAAAACCACAATAAGTTCGCATTTATATTTTGGAACTCTTGTTTTAATTCTACCTCATAATTGCTTTGTTAGGTAAATGTTGATTTAAATATCAAGTTTTCTTGCAGTATTTCTTTCACCATCGGAATAACCTGGATATAAATGTTGTGATTAGAGAAGTTTATCATCTCATGGAGATCACACCTGCTAACATTCATCCAGAAAGTGAACTAGAAGTTTTTGTTGCACTGACAAAAGGGCAGTATCCAGTATTTAATCAATATCCAAAGTTTATCGTGGACTATCAGACACAGGAACGAGAAAGAATAAGGAATGATGAATTGGATTACTTGAGAGAGAGGTAATCAAGGAATAACTCTTTGATAGAAATGGAATCTTGGGCCAGGGATTTAGCTCAGTGGTGCTGCCACCTGCCTTGCAAGCGCAAGAACCTGAGTTCGATCCCTGGTACCAAAAAAAAAAAAGAAGAAGAAATGGAATCTGTTGCAAACAGAGTTTTTAATGAAAAATACATTTAAATCATTAAGCATTTGCGTAAAATAAAAGTTTGAAGGTAGAGGGTATCTGGAAGGAAATTTGGGCATTATACACTAATCAGGTGTACATGTTGTGTTTTGATTGTTTTGGGGTTATATTCTTTAGCTTTCTTGTTTGTAACTTCTTAACAATAAAAACTGTCTAATTAAGGCAGACAGTTGAAGACATGCAAGCTGAAGTAGACCAGCAAAGAGTTGAAGATGAAGCTTGGTACCAGAAACAAGAACTGCTTCGTAAAGCTGAGGAAACAAGAAGAGAAATGCTTTTACAAGAGGAAGAGAAGATGGCCAAGCAGAGACAGAGGTATGTTTTATCATGTTGAGAAAATCTGGACACATCATTCAGGTTGAATAATTTTTATTTTCTCCTGTCTTCTCATTTAGGAGCAGAACTATATGTAGAATTACCCAGCTTAATTTCCATCAAGCAAATATTTAAGTTAATAAAAAGAATATGTACCACTTTTCAAAAAATTGTTATATAAAAGTATAATTCTAAAGCTATACTGAATGTGATACAACTTTGTACTGACTATTCAGAGGTAATACAAGATCTAATGTACTTTGAAGAACATTATTTAGAAACATTATCCTATAGTAGGTAGAAGATGCTTTGCTTTGTGATGGAGTGCTGGGTAAATCACTTTTACCAGAGTATAATTTTTTAAATTGTGGGGGGCTTTTTTGGTACCAGGGATCGAACTCAGGACCTTCCGCTTGCAAGGCAGGCGCCAGAACCACTGAGCTAAATCCCCAGTCCTAAATTGTGTTTTAAAGGTAACTGTGTGACCTTACAGTGGAAAGATAAAATATATCATTTGCATTTAATACTTTGGAAGACAAAGGAAGAAGTATTAAATGTTTATTTAAAAGTAGGTTAATTTAAAAAATTTAATTAAAATTATAGGGTAAGCACCTATACTAAGCTGAATTTTTAGGAAATTCACTTCTGTACATATTTATTGACTCTATCTTGGAACTTTATGAAACAGATTTCTAGGGTAAATAAAAAGAAGTTACAGAATAAATATACATCGTATTTTGTAACACTGGGGCATTCTCCCTTCATATAAAGGATATCACTTGTATTGAAATGATCTGACTGGTAGACCTGGTAGAAGTTTGAGTGTGAAGAGGGTTGCCAATTGCATGGACCACTTGTCATCTTCATGAGTACAGCTTGTGCAGTAGGGCGTCTTTAACTTATGTATTATAAACATAGTTATGTTACACTGGCATAAGTCAGTTTGGGAAAGTGTATCGAAGTAACTAGGAGGTAGAAATTAAGTCTATATTGGGAAATGCTTTATTCCTCTTGATGTTTCTGTATTTAAGACTAGCTGCTGTGAAAAGAGAGCTGAAAATAAAGGAAATACAATTACAGGATGCTGCTAGGAGGCGTTTTCTAAAGCTTCATCAAGATCAACGTGAGATGGAACTACGAAGACTGGATGATGAAATTGAGAGAAAGGTTTAATTTTTATTTAGTACTCATACATCAACATTTATTCTCATTTAATGTAATGAATACCTTCAAATTAAATAATATTCTGGGTCCACAATGAATACTACACAGTCCCTTTAATTTTATTTACTGTAACTCAAGTATTCTTATTCTCTTTTGTATTTCATTAATGGTCAGATATTTAAGAAATTCCAGAAAGCTGTCTGTGATGGTGCATGCCTCTAACCCCAGCAACTAGAGAGGCAGATAGCAAGTTTGAAGTCAGCCTGAGCAACTTGAGAACCTGTCTCAAAATTTAAAAAAAATATTTTTTTTGGTACTAGGGATTGAACTCAGCTCCTTGCGCTTGTGCAGCAGACAGCAAAACCACTGAGCTGAATCCCCGGCCCTAAAATACAATTTTAAAGGACTGGGGGTGTAGCTCAGTGGTAGAGGGCTTGCCTATTATGTGCAAGTCCCTGGGTTTCCTCCCCAGTAAAGCCAAAAAAGAAATATTAGGAAAATTATTCAATTTAACTGTCCTTGATGACTACCTCTCTAAAAATAGAAATGTTTAAGTTCACCATTTAAATTAATTGTGAATGAGAGGAAATGTTCTTTTTAATATAAAAATTCACACAGCAGTATAGAAAGAACTTTCCATGCAAAATACAGAATTTCAAGTGAGCCTTTTCATGCTTCATCTCCAGAGACAAACTTTTATTTTTTTAATGGTTAATTATATAGCCTTTCAGGTATGTTTCTGTAGATACAGGAGTAATTATAAACCTATCTTTTTATACAAAATAAGATTGTTCCCCCTCTGCCTTTTGTTTTTGTACCAGATTTTTAAGATTATATTCGTCAGGCCGGGGATTTAGCTCTGTGGTTCCACCACCTGTCTCACAAGCACAAGGTCCCAAGTTTGATCCCCGGTACCACCAAAAAAAGATTGTATTTGTCATATATCTTTTCATATTATTATATGTGAATCTATTTTTCCTTTTTGTTGTTGCTTAGTATTCCATGACTGAGTTTACCATAGTTTAATTCTTTGCTGTTGGACATTTTCCATGTAAAAATGGCTTAAACAGTTTAACCATGTAAGCAGGTTATATGGTAGGGTGCTTCCCTACACCCTAGACTAGTCGGTTTCAGAATGCATCAGTCTGGATCGGGGATTTAGCTCAGTGGTTCTGCCGCCTGCCTCGCAAGTGCAAGGACCCAAGTTCGATCCCCGGTACCAAAAAAAAAAAAAACCAGAATGCATCAGTCTTAATATTTGCCAGCCTGATAAGTGAGAAATAGAGTATTTTAACTTGCCCCCCCCACTGTTGAGGTTGAATCTCTTCAGTTATCTTTATTTGTAGAAGAACTATAAATTGCATGTTCATATAATCCTTTTTTCTATCAAGTTAGTCTTTTTTCTTATTAATCCACAGGGTGTCTGTCATTTGGGGCATCCAGTGACAGAAATACATCACAAGCCACATATGTAATTTTAAGTTACTAGTGACCATGCTAATAATATAAAAACAGATGAAAATAATAACATTTTATTCATCTAAGTTATTTGCAAATTATTATTTCAACATGTAACTGGTATAAAAATATCATTAATGGAGTAGTTTACTCTTACATTGTTCAGTACATTTTACACTTACAACGCACCTCAATTTGGATTAGTCACACTTTAAGTGCTCGACAACCACAGGTTGCTAGTGGTGGCCATGCAGTGGAGGCTTGGGACGTTAGCCTTCTTGTCTGGTGTAAATGTTTTCTATTGTTCTATGTTTGCCTCTTAAGAATTTTTGTTGTTTTTTTGTCTTGCAAAATATTTTTACTTTTAGATAGTCAACTTTATTAGTTTGTATGACTTCCGAGATCTCTGTCGTATTTAGAATGACCTTCCCATTCTGAGGTTGTATTACACGTATTTTCTTCTAGTTTTATGTTTTCCTGTTTTTTAATCTTTTCATCTCAGGGATTAGCAAACTACTGTATGCTAGCTAAATCTGGCCACCACCTATTTTGTGAGGCTCATAAGAGTGTGGTTTGAACATTTTAAATGGTTTTTAAAAATGGACAGGTCCTTACTCCTGGGGTTATAGCTTGGTGGTAGGACCCTGACCCAACTTATGTAAGGCCTTGGGTTTGATCCCCAGCACCACCAAAAAAACAAAAACCTAATGATAATACTTTATAACATGAAGGTTATATTGAATTTTTAGAAATATATGTGAAATTCAAACTATAGAGCCCATAAATGAAATTTTATTGGAATATACTCACACATACTTGTTTTCATATTGTCTGTGGTTGCATTTGTACTGCAGCAGCATAAGTGAGTGATCATGGCAAAAACTATATGACCCCAAAGCCTGAAGTATTTATTATCTGGCCCTTCACAGAAGACATTTGCCAACCTGTGATGTGTCTGAAAATTGGATGCAAGAAACAAGTTAGGGACCAAGCTTATTTCTTTCCAAGGGGCAAGTCAGTTGTCTCAAAACCATTTGTTGAATATTAGCAGAGTCATTTGCCAGCTGGTGATTATAACGTATTAAATGCCCACATATACTCAGATCTCTTCCCATGTTCTCTGCTCACAAGGCAGTACCACGCTGTTTGAATGACAGGAGCTTAGGAATGCTTTGCTTTCTAGTGCTAGTTCCCACTCATTAGTCATCTTCCATTTTCCTCAGTGTTCTTAAATGTTTATCATTTTGAATAGACATAATTTTACCATTCTCTGTAAATGCCCACCTCCCCAAGTTGAAATTAGTAGGATTCCACTGAATTTATGCCTTAACTTAGCAGGTTTCAAACCCAGTTTTGACGAAATACTAAGTATTTTTAGCTCTTTTAAAGTATTTTTAATTCATCTGGGTTAGAATTCTATTACCATTTTTATAGTATAATACTTCTTGTTTTGGTTAGAGCAAATTAATTTTTAATTGATTTTTTACAGTCTATGATTCTTTTTAATTGTCTGATGAAGTGAATCAGATTAATATTTGATTCTAAAAAAGTATATGTTCTTCCCCACAAGTAATAACAGGCTCAGAACTGATGTCTTTCTTCCAAATCCCCTTAAGACAGGGTAAGGTTCTTTAGTCAGAGAACCCTGAAGTCCCTCGGTAGCACAGTCCAGCCCCTGCCTGCCCTTCCAGCTACCTTTCCTCCAGCTGGCTTTTCTGATACTGTGTCCACCCCACCCAACTGCAGAAGCCCCTCTCAGGCTGCAGCAGGAAAAGCAGTCCAAAGTGCATGTGACTGCACGTCTGTTAGCACTAAGCAGAGTGGATCTGTTCTTGCTGTTACACAGCTATCTACATTTCTGGAAACCATAAGCAAGAGTTCTGTAACTGAAATTCCTTAAAAGCATATGCTGTGCCAGACCTTTCCTCCGGTTGTTAGCATTGTCACTACTCTGGTTTATAGACTCACGCTTCCACACCTTTGAGATAGCTACTTTCCCAGTAACTCCTCAAGGTGAACTGCTCTGTGATCCTTTCAGCCCGTGGATGTGTTTGAACATCCCAGTAAGTTCTCATTTACTGCTTCTCATATTATGGGTAGCATGTCTGTCGCTCAACAATGGCTAGCCTACCTTGTGAATGCAAGTAGTGATGCAGTCACTAAAGGTACGCTGAATAGATGCACAAATCAACAAGGATAGATGGCTGATACAGTTTTTGTTTTTTTGTTTTGTTTGAATGAATATCATATACTTTTCCCTCTTCCATAAAAATATTTATAACTTTAGGCAGCTAAATATTTAAGATGATTTCTAAGCTTCTCTAGAGAGTGCCTTGTCCAAACCTTCTAGTACTGTAGGAGTGAAAAGCTTCCAGGTAATCAAATTTTGGAGAACAGTGAACTCTAAGACTGAGCAGAGCACATAAATAGTTACACAGTCCACAGTAACTTTCAAGCTGGAGTCATTAGTTGTTAATTAAATTTATTAAAAATATTGAAGATTTTTATTAAAGAACATCGAGTAAATATTGCATATAAGTATATTACCAGTTACTCTGGTTTAAAAGCCCAGTCTCCATTACTGTAAATACTTTTTTTTTTT